TTGGTGAACGGCTGCAAATTTTCTTTAACGGAGAGTCTCCAGACTGATCTGCGAGGATGTTCAGGATGGTCTCACGAGGCTACCATTGTGCAGCGCAGTGCAGTGATAAGGGTTTTTGCTCAGGCCACAGTGGCAGTCTGTGGGAGTGGGGCTCGAACTCAGAACCTTAGCGCAATACCCTAACCACTAGGCCACCAATCCCCCGAATTGTGATATAATTAATGCTAATGTGATCTTCACACTTAAATAAGTAGTTTCTCAAAGAAAGTAACATCAGGGGTTTCTAAAATAAAAAGCTAAAAGCTAACTTTCAACAAATCAAATAGTTTAATAATCTAAATAATACATTGAAAACAATAAATATATGTGTTGCTGTGGTTATATGTTTACTTATTAAATCATTTAGGAGTAAAAAGTGTTTTTGGTTTGGAAAAAAGTTGTTTTACTTTGTTGATATATAGTTTTTGATTAAAATGCATTTGTCGCACTATTTATAGACCTTATAAATAACTTGAATGAAAATTTTTATTGTGTTCCAACACCACTCTAAATACTTCTTGATTTCTTCTTCATTGTAAAAAAAAAAAAAAGTTTTGAGAAAAATGTCAATATCAGCAAAAAGTATAAAAGTTATAAATACTAGAAATCAAAATAGAGATCTGCCTTAAAAAGCTAAATGGTTGACGAAAGGAGGATTGGTGGAAGAAGTGATTTTAGAACTATCATGTTTTGGATTTAACTTGTCTTTATGCTCCTTTGTCTCTGCAGCCCCTGCAGGGGCAAACCTGATGGGTGGGGTGGAGGAGACTATTGACTGATCATGTTTAATGCCAAAAGGCACTCAGCTGAAGAGTCACTCTGCTAAACAAGTCAATAGCATTGCGAGCGACATGTCCATATCTTGTTGAAAGGATATCATTGTCTCCCTCACCGGGCCGTAGACTGAACCCCTCCTCGTCGACATCGGGTGAGGCCTGCAGGAGAAAGGAAAACCATGAAAGCAAAGAAAAATGCAATGCTTGCAAATATAGATTTGGCTTAATGGGCAGCGAACAGTTTTCTCAAGATATTCATCTTTCTGGCTGATCTACAGCACACTGAGTTATAATTCTCTTTAAAGAGCATACACGGTCACTTAAATCCCCAACGCACATAACAAAAACACAGGAACTGCCTTGTGCCAGAGCTATCGGGTGTCTGCTTCTCCAACAACAACATACATTGAGGATACTTACATATCTGTCCCAGTCAATCTCCCCGTAGAAACCATTAGGAGCTCCATTGGCCTTTTTCTGGAAGGAAAACCAGTGGTTATATCAAAGGTGTCACAAGGTACGGTAAATAAAAACAACTCAGTATTGTATTATCACACACACCATCTGCAACCTTCTCCTTTATTCGAATGAAGCCAAGAAAGATGTTGGGTCTAAATACATGGTTTTAGATTGGAGAGTATATCAATACACCCGATACCAAGGAAGAAGTCAATGTAGAGGTGAGAAAACACAGCTGCTGACCATGCAGGCATGGGACGGACCCTGAGTTTTACCTACCTTCCATTCTGCCCTTTGAATCGTTTTTTATCAAAAATTTATTTGGTTTTGTTTTTTTAAACACAGACATTAGCGATATATTTGCAATGAGGACTACGGTGTACATACTTTTCCCTTCTTTCCACCTTCGCTTCCCTCTTTGTCAGGTGAGCTCCTGTTTAAAATACAAGAGACGTGTAAATAAAATTTAATAAAAACAGTCTTTTACGCTAAAGATATTCCTTTTTTACACGAGTAAACTTACGTTGCTTCTGTGTCCTTCTCTTTCTTCCCTAGGCGAAGGGCTTTTCTGGTTCGTTTTTTCAGTCCTGTTGCAGAAAATGAAGAAAAAAGTCATCATAAAAGATGTTTACAGCATGAGTGTCATAATTCAGTCAACTGCCTTGTCAATAAAAGCTACTCAACAGCAAATAACCGACAAGATTAACAGTGCAGTAAGCCACGGATCAGAGGACCTTCAGGTTCAATAAAAAGGAAATAAATTCACGTTGATGCTTTAAATGAAAGTATTGATTTGGAACAAACCCTTAGCTGTGTGAAGGAATCTTAACAAGACTGAATTGGTAATAGTTAAATTCCTTGACCCTATGGAAAGAAAACTAAAGCTAAGGACAAGTAGGCTTGATCAGAGATGGAGCAGAAGGAACAACTGAATGCACAAATATTGTTGACATATTAATATTGGTTCAGTGCTCTGTTCGTGGCACACTGGACCAGCTCTATGCCGTCCATCGGGTGCTCGAGAGTTCGTGGGCGTTCGCCAACCTGTCCACATGTGTTTTGCGGATCTGGAGAAGGTGTTCGACCGTGTCCCTCATGGTGCCCTGTGGGGGCTCCTCAATGAGTATTGGGTCCGGGGCCCTCTGTTAAGGGCTGTCCAATGTCTATATGACTGAAGCATGAGCTTGGTTCGCATTGCCAGTAGTAAACCAGACCTGTTCCCAGTGCATGTTGGTCTCCAACAGGGCTGCCATTTGTCATCGGTTCTGTTCATTACATTTATGGACAGAATTTCTAGGTGGAGCCAGGGAGGGTGTCTGATTTGGGCACCACATCTCTGCCATTTGCAGATTATGTCCTGTTGGCCTCATCAAACCAGGATCTTCAGCTTGCACTTTGGCGGTTTGCAGCCAAGTGTGAAGCAGCCGGGATGAAGATTGGCACCTCCAAATCCGAGGCCATGGTTCTCCACCGGAGAAAGGTGGACTCCCTTTTTCAGGTCGTTGGAGATTCCTTTTCTCAAATGAAGGAGTTTAAGTATCTTGGGGTCTTGTTCACGAGTGATTGACGGATCGGTGCGGGGTCTGCAGTGATGCGGTCTTTGTATCGGACTGTCGTGGTGAAGAGGGAGCTGAGTCAGGGGACAAAGCTCTCGATTTACCGATCGATCTACGTTCTCACCCTCACCTATGGTCATGAGATCTGGGTAATGACTGAAAGGACAAGATTGTGCATACAAGCGGCCGAAATGAGAGTTTCCTTCACAGGGTAGCTGGGCGCACCCTTCGAGATCGGGTGTGGAGCTCAGATACCCGGGAGGATTTGGGAGTAGAGTCAATGCTCCTCCACGTCGAAAGGAGCCAGCTGAGGTGGCTCTGGCATCCATACTGGATGCCTCCTTGTTGCCTCCCTTGGGAGATGTTCCAGGCATGTCCTATTGGGAGGACAATTCTTGGAAAGCCCAGGACAAGCTAGAGGGACTATTTCTCTGATCTGGCCTGGTGTCGCTTCGGGGTCCCCCCGGAGCAGCTGAAGGAGGTGTGTGTGGATTGGGTAGTCTGGGCATAAAGTGGAACAGGATGGATGGATGGATGGATGGATGGATGG